ACGACAAAGAAACATGGAATTATATCTTGGCATGCTATAATATGGCTGACATCTCTTCTACCGGTTGTTCTGTTAAGGTTTTTCTCATATTTAGTTGGTGGAAGGGCTCACTATGTCTTACACAGCATGAAGAAAACTTGCTTTTTTCTTAAATTCAGTTAAATGTAGAAATTTCAAAAGAAAGAAAAAGGGACTAATAGCCTTATTTACCTCAACTGCTCCTAATCAAGAAAGGCACTTGCATCATTTTCTAAACATTCATGAATAATTCAACTGACAGCCTGCACACTGATTCTTTCAGAATTCTAGAAATAAAAATCACAAATTGAAAGAATTATCTGTTTGGAAAATACATGCAGCCATGCAGCTCAGGAAAGGCTTTTGTTAGTTATACAGAAAGAATCTTTTCAAGAAAATCTTACAAAATCTAAGTTGAAAACTTTGCTTTCACTATGAAGAAGGTTTAATGAGACTGAAGACAAAAATCCTTCAAAGAGAAGATGCATATGACTTTCATGCCCTATATGTTTATCTGATTATCATCAAATTGTGGAAAAATTAGCTTTCGAATGACATACGATGCTGAAGTTTGTTTTGATGGATATTTATCAATGTTTTTAGATTCTAAGATGTAAAACAGTTCAAAGAGTAACTGCAAAATGCATTTGATGCAAGAGATATAATGCAGAGAAAATCAAACCAATTAATTTCCTGCTGCCAGAAGATGGAGTGAGAGATGTTTTGGGTTTTGAGGTAACTAGACCTCTTTCACCTAAAGGACGAAAAGAAAAGCTGCATACTTTTATGTAACTGTGCTAACACAAGAACTTTCCACCACTGATTTTTATCAGGGTTTAGAAGGTTCATAACTAGACATGGACAACCAAAGACTATGCAGAGTGACAATGGTAAGAGCTTCGTCAGAACTAACAACCTGTTTTACTCTCTTGATTGGAAGAACAAGACTGTTCAAGAAAGTTCCATTTTGAAGATTGCATGGAAATTCAACCTTCCGACAGCTGCCAGGTGGGCCACTTGGAAGCAAATAATTTAAATGGTGTAGAAAATTTTTATAATATTAGGAAGAGCCTACTTCAGATATGAGGATATATTTACTATTCTCTGTGACATGGAAGCTGTAATCAATGCAAAACCGTTAAATTACTTGTCTGAAGATTTTGAAGATTTAATGCCTTTAACACCCGCAATGCTCACTCAGAACACTGCTGTTCAATGCTAAATATTCATATAAAGCACTGGGGATCACAGACTTGGACCATTAAGATGAGGTCAATAATGCTTTCTATTTTTGCATTAAGTTGTAAACTAAGCAAAATCATACAAGCTACAAATGAATTTCAATTAAAACATCATCGTAAACACAACACACTTAATACACCAATAATCAGCAGTTATCAAATGCAAATTTCTCAGTTGCAAACCAGATTGCCAAAAAATCTTTTAGAATGAGTACTTTTCTTCTACTGCTCATTTATCACTTGTGCATAAATAAATATACATTACAAGGTCAGTTTTTATGTAGCCATATAGCTTATGAATACTTTAGTAGATGCCAAATGTTAGAATACATCTTTTGTTACCTTTTCTTAAATCTTTGAAATGCTATGCTATGGCTAACTTAGCTGCTAAGTTAGCCTTCCTTAAAGGAATGGAAAGCAGTCTGCTGATGGTTCAGCCTAGCCATCACAGTGTAACAACATTTACATTTTTTTTTTTTTTTTTTTTTGCTATCAACTGTTCCATATTGAGTGAAAATAATTTTTCTTTTTTATTTGTTTGCTCAGTCTCTAAATTCATTACAGCAGGCATTTTAAAAAAGTAGATACATACAGTCAAATACCGAAAATCCACCAACTCCTGAAATCCACGTTGCCTCTCAAAATATAAACAATCAGTTTATTGGTTCCAGAAACCGCAACACTGAGTACGAAACATCGAAGAAAAAATACTTACCGAATAATAACATCATAATTACCAAATAATAATGAGTCATAATGGAAATACCAATTATTGACATCATGATAAAAGTTTTTTCCCCTCTAATTTGCATCGAGGTAAGAAAGGAGAAACTTCAACACTCAACTCTTCTTTCAAGTTCATGATTCGCGTTGTATTTTCTGAGAAGTGTTACTTCACAAGATTATTTAGTGCTGCTTTTTTTTTTAATATGGATATTTTGTGGATAAATTAAGAATATTTTAAATTTCAGCCCTTTTTAATACAATTACAGATAAGAAACACATTCATGATTTCACTGCTTGCAATTTTGAAAAACTTAAACACGTTGCATTGACGGTAATGCAAAAAGTGCAAATTCTGCAAAAGATGGAGGCAGGTGCATTTTACAGCAGAATCATACGGAATTGAGATACGATTGTGTATGATATACGGGGGGGGGGGAATGAAAGCTGCTGAAATTTTACAGCAACAATGATTCTAACATCGGAATCCGAAACCGGAAATCTTTGCATGATGCGAAATCAGCAAACCTCGATGCTGTGTATATAAAATACAATGAATAATATAATCAATTTATACATGTAATTAATTTATACATGTAACAATAATTTAACGTATATAATAAGTTATTGCAATAATATATATAATAATTAATTAAAAGTATCTAATACACTTATTTATTTTGCACTTTTAGTCTGAATATTACAATTTATCTTTTCTGTCCTGAAATCCGCAAAATCCTAAAATCCGCACAACCTCTGGTCCCAAGCTTTGCAGATTTCTGCACGTCTACTGTATTACTAAACATTCCTCTGAATTATTGCTCGGTAACTTCGATGTGACTAAAAGAAAAACTTCATTAGAAAATCTGCCACCTTCATTATATATTAAGAACTTGGATAGTTGAGTTTTACGTACTAACCATTAACTGAATTATTGCTCGGTAACTTCGATGTGACTAAAAGAAAAACTTCATTAGAAAAATCTGCCACCTTCATTATATATTAAGAACTTGGATAGTTGAGTTTTATGTACTAACCATTAGCACACCAATTAAAAAGGAATTTCCTAGCTAAAATTATGAACAACATAACTTTTTAAAATTTATTTCCAATGTCAGTTAATGTGATAGCAAACAATGATTCAAATCCGAGTTCAAAATTTATCTAGCGCATATTCACAAATTTACAAAACAAATGTTTATCTTCAACATTACAAAATACTTTATTAATGTTTAAATTTATCACTGCATGTCAAAAATATTAAAGTCCTCCTTGTATCTTTATTCTGTACATAACAAGTTAATTGGTATGCATAGTAAAAATATTAAAAATTAACTATTTAAACTCCACATACTTAAATACTACTAAGTTTACTCTAAACTCCACATATAAAGGTTGTTCAAATGAAAGTGGCATTGCTGTAATAACATCGCCATTAGAAAAGAGATATGACTGCACATGCCCCAATAGAGCGTGCACAGTACTGGAAGTGCATGTGACATCATTAGATCCCGCCAGATGCGTGTGTGATTACGCCACAGCTTGTTAAAAGACATTGTTCACATCGTGGATGATTCCAAACTGTGTCAATGCGTGGTCATGCAATTTTTAACAGCGGGAAATGTGAGCGCTTCTGAAATCTATCATCGAATGCAAAATATACATGGCATGGAGTGTATGAAACACAGATTGGTATTACGATGGTATAGGGATATATGTAGTGGAAGAAGCAGTACTGATGACAGGACACAACCTGGTCAAGCGCATGTGGTGATCACCTAGGAAGCAGTTGCAGATGTGGATCGTCTTATGGAAATGAATTGCCGAATCAGCACTTGAGAAACAGTGCAGGAAATGTCTATAAGCATAGGAAGTATGCCCACAATACTGCGTGAAAGGTTGCGATGCAGCAAGGTTTATGCACAACGAGTGCCAAAACATTTGACAGAGCAGAAGATTCATCGCATATCTGTTCCCATGCAACACCTTATGCAGTACCACGAAATGGGGAGCCAATTCCTTTCAAAGATCACTGCTGCTGATAAAACATGGTGCCATCACATTGATCCAGCCACCAAAAGCACAAGCATGGAATGGCGATGCTCTTCATTCCCATGCCCGGGGGAAAGGTTTGCATGTCCACTAGAGCTGGTAAAGTCATGTTAATGGACTTCTTTGATGTCGATGGCCCACTACTGTTCGAACGGGTACCTAATAGGCACGACCGTCGCTGCTACTACGTACTGTGCAACATTGCAAAAACTGAGACAGAATATCAAAAACCACTGATGTGGCATGCTGTCATGAGGGGTTATCTTCTTGCATGATAATGCTCGTCCTTGTGTGGCTCTAGTGTGTCAAACTTTGTTACACGAATTCTGCTGCGAGGTTCTTGAACAACCCCCTTACAGTCCAGACCTCTTGCCATGTGACTAAGACATCCTTGGTCAACTACAGAAATCTCTGAAGGAATGGCGATTTGCTGATGATAATGAGGTCCAAACTGCCAATGAAAACTAGTTTCACAACCAATTCCACTGCTTTTTCACCCAGGGCATCCACCATCTCGCTGACCACTGGGACATTTGTGTCAACGTACAAGGTGACTTTGTCTAGCCTATCTGTTACTACTGTATTACTTCTTTCTTTTGTATACTAATTTATATTCATATTAAACCATTTCTCAAACTAACTATAGTGCCACCTTCATTCACTTTTTATACTTAATACATGCTCAGTTTTATCAAAGTTTTCATGTGGCATGATAGATCACTGCATACAGCTTTAATGAATGCATTGAACTTTCTCTTTGTTTGCCTTGACTAATCGCTGAGTTAGGATATGACATGGATAATGAAGTTGGTGGGCCACAAATGAAAGCTTTAACAGAATTGAGCTTCAATGTAACTTAAAGCATGTGAAATTTAATATATATTCACTTCATTTCTTCTCACCGAAACTAAAATATTTATTATTATTATTCCAACTATAGCATTAATTATATAACAAAAAACTTACCTTCCCTTAATATGCTGAAATAAGGATGGAAATATGTGAATTAATGCTGTCAAAAATTGTTGTGCAGGCACATAGAGCATAGAATAGTCATTTTTAGAATGAGCACTGTCTATAAGCCTGTCTGGAGGAGGTTTTGTACTCTCTATCCCGATGTTATACCAAACTTTCCATGCAGCACTCCATAATGCAACTTCACTAACAGTTCTAAAAAATACATAAAGTCAAACAGTTCTATGCCAATATAAATAACATACTGCTTTAGAAATGCATTTTATTAAGTATAATGCTATTGCAAATAGTCCTTAAAATTATAAGGTGGGTATATTAGATTAAATCTGTCTAAAGCCACATCAATTGGAGATACAATAAAAATAAATAAATAAGAAATTCCTTTATTACCCCTAAATCACTTAATTTGACACACAGTTATAATCTGGATGTTAAAGATCTTACATCATGGAAAATGAGCCCACTCTGGAAACTGGCTATTTACTATACTACATTGCAAATAAAGATCTTATTTTAGTGCGATGTCAACACTTTTTAAGTCATATGGATAGCCAAATGGTATAATTATTTCCTCTGTTGAAATAATCAGAAAATAAATTTTGGAAAAACTCTATTAAAAATGCTTCTAACAATTACAAAACACTAATACTTTTCATTCTTCCTCATTGAGTACCATGAATTTATCAATGAATTGAGTAGTGCATTTCAATATGAATAATGGTACGAAAAAAGAAATCAAGTTAAGAGCTTAACTGAAAACTGTGAAGCTTGAATTTGAAGAATACCTTTGTTTATATCAGACATCCAATTGGCAGCCAGGTGACTTACAAGGGCTTGTGGTCCTTTTGTGGCCCAAAAAGTAAGAACATCAAAATTTATTGCTGTTATTTATTTCAGACTTCCTGATAAAAATATATTTTTATACTTTTGTTCATCATAGAACTAACTTCGAAACTTGTTGAAAATATCAACATCACTATAAACTAACTCTACTGAAGTTGGTGATTTGCATGAAGCTCAGAGTTAATGAAAAATGAAACAAATAGCTTTTCTTTTATAAATGAAACATGAATAGAACAAACACTTCCTACTAAAGAAAAGATGTTAGTGGCATAATGAAATCGATTAAGTTATTTGAGTGAAGGATTTGGTCTAGTTAAATTTTTGTTATGTTATGAAAGGAGTCATTTACAGTTCCATATTATCCCATGCAAATTATCACTACTTCTGAAATGCGTGGAATTTAAATAATACCAGTATTACATAGAATTTAACCACCAATTTTCTATCTTACCTTTAAGATGTTTATGCTATGCTAAAAAACTTTTAAGATTCTCTCTAATTATGAAAAATAAAGATTAAATTCAATAAGATTAAGGTCATGCATTCCTAATATGTGTAATAATTCCAGATGTCAATATTTCTGTGACAAATTTTCAGATGAGGAACATATACCCTATTCTTACCTCAACATAATATACTAGCATTGTTTTTTACTAGAAATGAAACATAAAAAAGTGCCTATTTTACACAATGAAACCCATAAAATAAATTTATTCCAATACACCAGAAATTTCAAAACATTGCACACTTAAAAATATGTCAGAGGTCTATGGTTTCAGTTTAAGAAATTAATCAACTACTGCCTCCAAAATACAGCTATTTATGCCTTGATATATACTACAAAAAATACACAAAACTTTAACTTTTATACAGTTCTAACAGGAAATATAGTAATAACAGCATTTCCCCAACCATATTTATCAAACATGAAAAGATATTCTTCATTCTATCAAAATCACTTACGGTATCATTTATCAAAAATTTTCAGGGCCATATATAAATACAACTACACAATGTTTGGGCATAGTGCTGCATTATATTTCAATGGAAATTTCTAAATAATAATCTTCACATTAGAATAACAACAATTTTAAAAGAGTTGGTTTCAAATTACTATTTCCCAAAATAGTAAAATCTGAAACATTGTTTCTATGAAATGTTTCAGTTTTCTACAGCCATAAATTGATAACAACTTCAGAATCATAAACAGGTTTAAGCTACATAATTTTGATAACACTTATCGGCATAAATTTCGAACATTAAGAATCCTCCCTGTCTAAAAGTTATTGATGAGACAAAGCCACTCACTAACTACAACGTCCTCTCTAGATGACCTGCAGACAAATTTAAAATTTCATTTATTAAAACGTGACATGACACAGTCTGTCACAGTTACAAATTGCAATCATATCTGATTCATTTCTTAAAATGAATGGGTTTATTACTAGCTACTCAAGATAACCCTATAAATGACACAGTTCTTTAAAGGAAACAAATATCCCAAAATTTAAACCATCAAACAGTTAAAAAAATTTTTTTTAATATATACCTCTCAGAAGAAGCATCATCCTCTTCAGATGGAACAATCTCATTCTTTATTTTATCAATCTTAACATCTTGATATCTGCTTATGTTTAAAATTTCTTGAAAACTTTTCAATGCAGAGAATGACACCTGGAATTTAATATTCAAATAAATTTCATTATAACAGCAAAACACTCTACAGATGTATGTAACAGTACTTAACAGAACAGAATTTAACATTTTTAAGTGACATTACATTTTCCCCTCATAAATAAATAATTTTCACAAAAATCATATGGTATTGCCTGACAAAGTACTTAAACACGATAAAAGCAGGGTTACCTAATGAAATAGTCTGAATTTTTTATGATCATATCCTAGAAGCATGATAAACAAAAATACTTAATTATTAGCAATAGTAGAACTCTATTCAGAATGGCTAGAAATAATTCCTTTATGACTCATTTCTCGGTGAAATTCAATAAAAACACAAGGACCATTTTAAACTAATTCCTGGAAATGATTCAGAATTACAGGATCAGACCAGAGATCACATGAATGTCTGTTACCTGGATCTTACCAGGCACTTGCTCCTTTTCACTAGTGAGAAATGTGGCTCACTTTGATACCAAATATAAAATCAAAATCACAATAACAAACTTGTATTTAGTGTACATATATTAAAACACTCAATCGATTTCAAGGGCAGCTAAATGTCCCTCCTCATCAGAAGAGCAAAATTACTAGAGAGGGGAAAAAAGAAGAAAAATAAAGCATCGGCAAAGGAGTCTCAGAAACACATGGTCATTACCAGATTTTGAATCAGAGTTACACTGGCCACCTACTTTTACTGAGCCAGGCTATCTGATCAAACATATAACACATAGACTAAAATGCAAAAAAATCAGTGAAGCCAAAAAATAGGGAACGAGGGGCAACTGCACCTTCACACACCAAGTCTGAATCTCAAATGAACCTAAATACAAGGTTGTTATTGCGATTTTGATTGTCACATTCGCGTGTTTCTCTTCTATTCTACCAAACATGAAAATCACATAAGAAGAAAATTTGAGAATTTTTGAAAATCGTGCAGGCAAGTATTTATAAAATTTGGCTATATCTACTTCATTGAATTTTTGTTTTAGAGTTGAGCTGCACTGAATTTCTGTTAATTCCATCTGTAAATGCAATGGAACTTTCTCGACATCAGATGAACAAATACTTTTGTAAAGAGACCACCTTAAGTATAATGTTTAGCACAAGATACTGTATATATGCCTATATATTCAGTGGAACTGAAATCTTTATTAATAAATTGCCATTATATATTTTTCATTATTTCTGGAATGAACCAAGGGCTGCACGTGGCACGAGACCATGACTTTGACATGCCTATGTTATGTACAGCCCCCATAGAATGCTTACCAAAAACCAGCAGAAATAAGACAGGAGGAGCCTACAGCTTGGAGGAAAAGAGGACAGCCAAGTGTGAACAAAAGCACAAAATGGTGTAGAATAGAGTCAGCAATGAAGGGGAACCAGATTGCCTATGTAAGGAAATCCTCGGGAACAAGCCAACAGCCACAAGCAGTTTTCCAAAGTGACAAAAGACCAGAGGATGTTGAAAATCTAGGCTGGTCCAAGAGTTTGCATAAGCAATTAGAAAGCAATAGAAGAACAACTACAATAATGAACCATAACAGCAGCCAAGATAAATCTATGTAGCCAAGTTAAAACTGTTCATCTGGGATGAGTTCTTTACAAAAAGAACAGTCCACCATAAAAGTAGGAAAGTTTAGAAACTTTTGTGTAAGCTTTGGCTCTACTTTGTTCAGAATTATCTACCAAGATAATCGATTTGTCTCTACTTTCACTTCTACATTCATCAGCTTTCTCCAGAATGAAAATTCATTTTTGCTCTGTTTATGCCTTTAAGCTTTATGACATTTATTGGCTTTAACTTTGGGAAGCCAATTTCTTTCATGAGTACTGATGGCCAGAACAAAGGCTCATTCAGGCACTTGCTACTTTGTATTTCATATTTTAATTAACCTTTGGAAGCCTGTTCCACATTTTGAGAAAGCTGCTGAGCTAATTTCTCTCATGGTATTAGTTTTGAGTAACCATCAGGTTGTTATGTTAATAAACAGGTTTATATTAAACTTTCATTTGTGTTTATTAAACTTAGAAAGAAGCTAAGATAGGATAATGAGTACAAACTATTGGCAATGACTCAATACTTTTTTTTTATTTTGCATACACACCTTTCTTTGTCTTTCATGATCTCTCTTTCTAGATATAAAATGACCATAAAATATTCTCTAAAAAGAGTTCTGCAGCTTTATTAAAAAGGCAAAATTTTACCATTCATAGTACCATGTTCTAATAAAAGCATAGGGGAAACATATTAAAAAACAAAACATTTATGTTAAAAATCAATTTCCCAAACATCAATAACAGAGAGAGAATGATGCTGTGCAGAAAGAAGAGCTAACTAATTCTCATAAACATGAGTAAGAAAGACTACTCTTCAATTAAAGACACAAGCCCCCTACTGTAAAAACTTCAATTTGGCACACAAGCTGAAAACAAATATATATTTATTTATTTACTGATGAAGCAGATACTGCTTATTATGCTAGCCATTTTCACAGATGATATATTACTTCTGATTTCTAGAGTATTCATAACAGAATGTAACACATTTTAAAGCTTTGAAAATTTTTCAGACAGCATATTATCCCATACTGCCCAATCAACATAACAGCACTGCAGCAGCTTTTATTAAGAATGGACTAATTAATCATTTTTATCTTTTTATCTCACTCTCCTAGCAATTACTCCACATTATTTTTTATTATTGGGATACATGAAAAGTCAACATCTGTCATGGCAATGCTATCTGGTAGTCATAAAGGGCAGTCTACTGTCTGTCTACGGTAAGAACAGCTCTCGCCAGTTTGGTTGCGGTTGTCTGTTGCCGTAGAAACGAGCCGTGACCCATTTTTCGTAGGGGTGTCTTGAAGATTTACTTCTCAGTTTGCCACCTTGGCATATTTAAAGATGAATTGGCGATATTCACATTTTGTTTTAGTTTCAAGTAAAATGCTCATTGACCCTTTGCGTCGACCCCGACATTCAATTTCCGAAAATGAAAATTGATGGCGTAAATAAAGTTTTTGCAGTTAAGGAACGGTCTTTGATTTTGCCGTGTGAGGTACAAGTCGCTGAATTTGCCATCCTTCTAGATGTACAATGAGTAAAAATATATCAAAATAACTTGTAGGGAAATGCATTTAAAATCCGTGCTTATTTTTGAAGAAAAATGCTCTCAATAAATACTTTTTGCGAACATTTCTTCTTTTCCCATACCTTTGAACTAAACCAAAAGGTGGTCAATTTAATGACGAAAGGAAGCGAAGGTAAATTAAAATCAAAACTGTTTTTACTTAATTACCAGTGGTTTGGGTTGGTTTATATGATTACAGAGAAAGCCTCCAGGGTTAAATGCCTAAGAGGAGGGATGCCTTCGTGGAGGGCTTGCTAAGGAAAAACTGCCTCGTATACACGTTACACATGGGGAAACACCCATGCAGCCAGCCCGTTCACGGGATTCAAACCTGAGACCGAACTACAAGTGTTCAGTGACTTTAAACCGATCGGCCGCTGCTGGGTCTCTTAATTACCAGCGCCCATTTATGCATCATGCTGCTTTTTATAGACACTGTAATAGCTTGTAACATAATAAAATGTTAAAATCAGAACAAAATTATATTTAAAATCAGAACAAATTATATTAGGTTTCTTAAATTATTCAGTTACCTATTTTATATTTAAAATTATACGAAATTTATATAATTATACAAAATTTGGCTTTTATAACTGCAGTGAGCATTGTTGCATTAATATAATTTTGTATTAATATTTTCATAATAAAACAAAACTTACTTATTTAATTTCAATTAAAGATTAAAAAAAATTATTTTTTAAGCAAATTATACCATGGCTTGTGGGTCCCCAAGAACACAAGTAATGGAAAATGAAGCAACCATTCAGTGTTCTTTATTATCCACAGGGGGGTTTTCGCCTCTGCCGAAGGCTCATTGTTGCCCACTTTTGGTAATCTCTTTCATTTACATAGTGGCAAAGAAAATATTGAACCTAGAAATATCCTCACAACTTGACAAGCTAATTCAGATGAAGAAGAGGGATGCCTTTCGTGGAGGATTTTTTTAGAGGTATAAAATCTGAAAAGTCATCCGAAGTCACTGTCGCAAGATTCCGTTTCTTCTGAATCAGAAATCAGAATCGCTGCTGCCAGTTTGGATTATTAATCCATCCACTATCTCTTCTAAAAGTTCGTCCTTGTCCCAATAATAATTTTCAAGTTTTTCTACGTGGTTGCAGTGCGCCTGCCATTCTTGAGAAGTGACATCATCCAAAGCTTTTTGTGTTAAATTTTTCAAATTTTCCAAGCTTAAGTCCCCAGTCACATTCCTTTCCCTGATCAGTCTTTTAACTGATGACCAAACGTATTCAATTGCGTTTAGATCACAGTGGTAAGGAGGGAGACGCACAACATGATGCCCATTTTCCTTTATGATGTTGTCAATTTTATATATTACTTTTTTAGGACGATTGCATTCTATTAAGCTGAACAGTTCCGCTTTTCGCATTTTGGGATCGCAGCATATCGTCTTCTTCATCAGCCAATTTACCATTGTTTGCTTTGTAGCATATTTCGTGGGTGTCGGATCTTCAATTTTTGTGTGATACGGGGCATTATCCATGCATACCACACTTTAAGGTCGTAAATTTGGAAGAAGCTTTTCCAACACCCATTTTTCAAAATTTCCATAGTTCATTTGCCCATGGTAATCCCCGCTTTGAGCTGATGCTTTATAAATAAGTTGGGGGCACCTGGAATAAATCCTGCGGAAGAGCCAGCATGGACAACAATCAGTCTATTTTTGGAACTGACATTTATCTGTGCGCCCAAAACCGTATCATGCTGCCAACATTTCTTAAAGTTAAATTGCTGTCAATCCATGTTTTCATCGATGTAAACGATGTGGCGTCCACTTGCTCTGAGTTTCCTCATTTCGCGTAAATAATTGTTCCTCCAAAATACAATGTGAGGTCTTTCGATAAGAATTTTTCTTTTGTTAACACATTTCTTCCAGCGAAAATTCATCGAACGCAAAACTTTGCACAATGAGTCTTTTTGCCACGGGAAGTCTATTTTTTGCCTCAAGACAGGCAATAATTTCCGCACAGATGGCACTTTCTTTTCTTTGATGTAAAAGAAACTTGTATAGTCTGCCGTATAAAGCATTTGTCAAAATCGTCAATTTCGCACTTATGATTAGCAGGGCTTTTACGTTTCTTTCCAGGCGTATTTAGAAGTTGATCTTCCCCCATTGTTGATACTTCGCGCTTAATTTTTTTAATTGTATACTCCGATACTCCAGTAGCTTGCGACGTTCTCTTCAAAACTTGAGGAAGAGGAACTACTAAAGAGTTCGCCGAAGCTTCAGAAGCACAAAATTCTGCGACATTGTACACGATTTGACGTGCCTGAGACTTTAAAGGTTGACCTTTCTTAAACTGGAAGGGCATTTTAAAAAATGGCGATTAACAAAGCACTATGAAAATCAAGCTAAATAGAAGCAAATTTGAACAAATACCAGTACAAAAGATATAACAACGAGAATAAAAATAGCTAATAATAATAATATAAGGCTTAAGAAAAGATGCGTGCAGCTGGAATGAAACCAAGAAGACGAATGATAAACTCTTTTCCCTTCAGCCAACAGTCGCCAAAAATAAAATAACAATAAAGCAACCCTTGGTTCGTCCCTATTTGAAATATACTAGCCCTGTTGCTATAGCGACCGCCACCCGCCAGACACCTTGGCGGGAGGTGTTCTTACCGTAGACAGACAGTAATTAAACATGTGATTAGGAGATTTAGCAATCTATGGGGAGATGTGAGGAAAAAATCAGGAGTCTTAGAAAAACCAAGAGAGTTCACATTCATGCTAGTGCTGAAGCATTTCAGTTTTTATATATTTTCTTCTATAGGGGAGATTTAGGAGATAGACACATTAAAAGGAGAAAAACAGATCATTTCAGCCCTAAATATCAAGAATATATCCAGGGCAAATTACGCAGTTCTTGGAAAGGGACGACTATAATAAGCAGCAAAGACATATCCATTCAAATTTTAAAATTTGGAAATAATCTAAAATCTCTTAAATTGATAAAATTAATGAAACATAGAAAACTATGACTTAAAAAGTATAATACTTCATTATTCTTGCTCAATGAGGAGCTTTCTATGAATTCCAAAAGCAATGCCCATGCTCTAGGAAAATCTCGAAGTGTTTGAAGAACATCTCGTTTTGTATGAAATATCCGAGCAACACCTGACAGAGTAAGAACCTGAAAAGATAAAAATGAAAAATCTAACATTTCAGCCCAATTATTATAATTTCATATGAATTAAAAGGAAATCTAATACTAAAGAATTATGAAACAATTTAGTTTTTACATCAGATAGAATTGATTTTACATTTCTGTGACTGCATAGTCATCATTTGAAACATGATTCTTCAAACTTATAAAACCAAAATTACATACATATGTTGACATAATATACATAAAGTATCTGCTGCTTATAAAATCCCTTTTGTTAGAAAGTATATACTTGGCATTTTTTTTTCCCCAAAAAAAAAGAACAACGCTCTGAAAACTGCCTATTTTTCAAAAATCTTGTTATGGTTGTCTTTTCGTTCAATAGATGGCAGAACCACTGAAAATTATATTTCTCTTCCAAAACAGAGTTGAAATACATGAATTTATAAGACGTAGTAATTTTTGGCTTTTTTAGAATAGAAAAACACATCATGTAGAAATAGCAGTCATTATTTTATATATGTCTCAGACTTAAAAAAATCTGTTGTTGTTTGAGACTTCTGAATTAGCTCAAAAAATCTGTTTGTATATTTTAAAGTTAAAAAATAATTGGACATCTGTCTATACTATGAAACGGGCGCTCCACTGGAGGTGTTCTGCACTTATCAGTCAGAACTGAAACAATGTGCAAAGTTTTTCATGCATGTAGTGTTGGACTTTGCATGCATAAAAATTTTCATATAAATATCATAGATGCTCTTTAAAATGTTTAATCTTTTAATCATTATATATATATATATATATATATATTATAACAACAGGTTTGCCAATCTCTATGCCTTACCTAAATTTCATAAGTCTCCAATAAAATTCAGGTTCATAGTGAATAGTACCAAAAGTTATCTCAAAGAAATAGATTATCTCTTTGCACAAAAACTTCGTATGATACGTGACCTAATCAATAACTATGATTTTGAGGGTTTGCATTGCAACTGGATGACTAACTAGTACCGAACTAGTTCTTAAAACTATTAATTCACTTAAAATAGACCATATCCAATGCTACGACTTTGAAAACCTCTATACATCTCTACCGCTTCGAAGAAATTTTTACAAGTTTACTAGCTCTCTTCCAGATTTATTTCCGCAAATTTCTACCATTCTCAGCAACGAAAAATGGCAACTATTCCTTACCAGCGTGCTCTTCAATAATTTTATTCAATTTGACAATAACATCTTTAAACAAGTACAGGGTATCCCTTATGGGCGGTAATTTTTCAAGCTCTGTCTGTGAATTATTCCTTGTTTACTAAAGAATTGACCTATGTCCGTTCACTCAGTACAGAAGAACGTATCATTTTACCAACACATCTATAGATATATTGATGATGTCATTGCATTTAATAACTACAACAAAATAGAAATAGCTAATATCTACCCTGCATGCTTAAAACTAAATAAAACAAATACAGAACAGCATAATGTAGTCTACCTTGATTTACATATTATAGATTACAATTTTATTAAAGTTTACGACAAAAGAAGAGAATTTAATTTTTCCACACTTAAATTAACTAAACTGGAATTCAAATATTTCCAAAAGAGTCATACTCAACACAATTTATTCACAGCTACTTAGAATAAAAGAATACTGCAATACTGCGAAACACTTACAAGAAGAAATACTATACTTCGTAACTATTTTAAAAAGTAACCTAATTCCTCATAAAATAATTAAAAATACCCTAACAAAAGCTGGCATTAGCCTTACCTATTTTTAGATTTTTTGAATTAGATAATGATATTTTATGCCTAAAGCCCGAACGGACGGTTTAAGATGGATGACTAATTCAGAGAATCTAATGTAAAAATGTACAGATAATTCTTGTTTATTCATTCTCTTTCCTCCAAAATTTTGGCACTTAACTTTTAAATACTATTGTGTAAATAGTTTTAAATTTCTATAATGGCCAATTTTACTGCTTTTATTAACAAATCGGGCCTTTTCGTTTTTCATAGTAGCTTGATCGCCCGCTAGCTTGAAGAATTACGACTTTTTTAACAAATGACTGTTTTTTCCTTTTACTCTTGCTTTAATGGCCAAGTTTTTGTAGTTTTAGCTGAATTAGCCATTTTCACTTCGAGACAAAAAATTTTTTTTCTTCCATCCAACTACATGCCAGGACGCCATTTTTTGAAGATCTTTTCACGTTTTTTTTTCCGACCCCCTTCGATAATAGGAGACGAGTTGCAGATAACGGACAATCTCTTCGTATTGGCTAATGCCCACAGAACTTCGCTCTCCCCCCTACATACGTCATACGACTGAAGTACACAGAAGGGAATTACAACCACTTTTCAACTAGTTTTAAGAGGGAGAGCTTTGCATCGCCACAGGTCAGTTTTTTGTTTCTTTTGTTACAACTTTTTCTTGGTCTTAGCAAGACCCACTTAGTTTGTTATCATCTTAATTTTCTTTTATTTTAAATACAGATTTTCATTACAGATTTCTAAATATATATAAAATATATAAAAAATTAAATGTTAATCTTTAAGCTTGCAGGCCCAGCCCGTATGTTTTTGTATATTTAGGACTAATAGCTGACCGCTATTTATTTCGTTTTTTTTTGATTTTATTTTTATTTTAATTTTGATTTTAGTCTAGATTTAAGATGTTTCGGTATAGTTTAACATATTTTAACACCTTAATGTGTCATTTTGTGCGGACGCGTCGGGAAATTGGAACAGAGAATTGAGACTATTAAAATTTTCCAAGACACTTTGTCTAAATTAAAAAAAATTTTTGTAGCGAAAAAGTTTCAATTGTCTGTTTCGGCGAAACGCGTAATGGGGTTAGCTTGATTCGACGTTCAAAAATTAAAATTTCCCTTGAAAAGCCAGTTTGGAAGTCGAGTTGGGCTAATTTACCATTTTCCGCTTACTTTTTTTTATCTGATTCTGTTTTTTTAATGTTTTACATGTTTAATGGTTTGATTTTCATATGTATTAATTTTTTTAAAACGTGTTGAACTTTTTGGAGCAGCAGCTCCTTGGTAACTTTTAGGCGAGCTTACTACAATTTTTATATTTACTTATTTTGCAGCATATTGCGCAAGATGTTTTCTAGACCAAAATTGGTTTTTCAAAATTGTAATTACTACCTTGCTTGATATATTATTTCTTTTTCGCAGCTTTAAGCGCAAAAAAGTGTCAGTAAGTTCTGATGTATTTAGTTTTTTAGGTTTTTGAGCTTTAGCTTATAAGTTGCCGGAAACTGTTTACAGTTCCACTTTCACGATAGGTTAGTCTTCCTCCCAAAAAACACTGTAAAGCAGGCTAGCTCCCTCTTTACTTTCAATCACTGGCTCAGATAAATAACATAGAAATAATTAAATGAAGCAACCAGCTTTGAAAAACCTGTAAGGCTAATGCTACTTCGCTCCTCCTTCTACTTCAAGTAAAACACAATCACTTTGAAAGACTTACAATTGCATCTACCAAATTACCTGTAAAGAATGTTCTCTCACGTATATAGGTCAAACAAAAAACCCTCTCAACCTCAGAATTAATAACCATAGATCTCATATCAAAAAATTTAAAAATAAAAACAATAATAGCACCAAAGATTATCAGCTTACAGCTATTCTTGAACATTATAATTTACATAATTTTGATAACATAGAAATAAACGTGCTTGATATTGTTCCAAACACCAAACTTAGACTGTTTAAGGAATCGATTTACATACTTACAACTTCAAAAAAGTCACTTTATCCTTACGGACTGAATGCATATATCTCAGTAATACCACCAATAGACAGCACGAGAAATCTCTATATATGGACAATTCAGATTTTTTAGCACTACTACTACCAGAGGAATCTAGAGGAGGTGATACCAAAACAAAAATTTTTTTTCGTCACAAGATCTGAAATTAATTATTCACAATCTTAATTCCTACCTTGAACATAAAGAATTCGCAAAAAATGCCATAAAACTTCTTCATACCTTTAAGAATACTACCTTATGGAATCTGATAAAAACAGTAAATCAACCTTCTCAATGCTTCAAAATAGTCAAGGATCTGATTATAGACTTCTGCAATTTTAAACTAAAGAACAGTAATTTTTTTCACAAAAAACTTTTTTGTACTATTCAGTTCAAACACCCTTCTTACGATAAGTTAAAAATACCTAGCATTTTAAAAAATTTCAGCACTTGCTTCCTGACCAACCACTTCCAAATTAAACCCTGTTTTAAATTTGAAAAAAACCTTAGGTCAACTAGAAAAAAACCTTAGGTCAACTTAGTTATCACCACCACGTTATACAAGATAATAGCAAATGTAATTGCCAATTGACTGTCTACAAAAAATATGTCGATCCTTTCCACCAACATATTATTACAGGAGATCTTAATATTGCATTGAAGATGTTGAATTACGTAACCTTTTGCAACTTGGCACCAAATTTCGTCCTACTTTCGGTATTAATAGACACGTCTGCCTCAAACAATTCAATAATGATCTTGATAAATTTATTATTTTAGCTAGTAATAGATCCAATTTACCCACTACAACTTTTCTTGAATGGAAAGCTGCACTTATTAAAGAATTTCAACGTTTGCTGTTCAAGTCACCTTGTTTCAACTCTTTACACAATAAAAAACGCCTGGAGGATCTAATTCAAAAATTGCAAAATCACTTTATCATCACGAAGATTGACAAAGCAAGCAACAATTTTAGTATTATTTGACAACAATTCTACTACAACCTTCTGCATAAAGAGTTAAATAACACCTGCACTTACCAAAAAATCACTACCAGTGCTCAGATTCTTCTCAATAAATTTAAAGCACTCCATAAAAAGACTAAAAATACAACCCCAGAAATATAACAACAGGTTTGCCAATCTCTATGCCTTACCTAAATTTCATAAGTCTCCAATAAAATTCAGGTTCATAGCGAATAGTACCAAAAGTTATCTCAAAGAAATAGATTATCTCTTTGCACAAAAACTTCGTATGAT